CTGGGGAGAGTGGCATAATAGAGCACAAAGCTAAAGTAACTGAAACGTGAAAACAAAGAAAAACAGAATGAGGTTCTTCAGAATTAAATCAGAGATTTCAGATGTAATGATATGGTTTTAAGAAAACTGGATTGGTAGAACTGTTATTGCTTTTGAAGGGTAAGTGGGCCCAAATATATATTTTTTCCCCTGGAGAACAGAGCTTTTTTATGGATTGGAAGAACTGCAAGAGTCTGCAACATCTGTTGTGTAAAGATGATAACTGATCTTTAAAGAAAATGGATTTATAGAACTAAGGTGACCAACTTTTTTACAACAAAAAGGAGGACACATATAAATTGAAGAAAAAAATATCGTAAATAAAAGAAACATTGTATTTATTGCAACAATAATACAGAATACACTATAATATAATAAATGCATAATAAAAAACATTTGTAGCAATAACATTTTATATTGTAATTATGCTTACATGCATATTAATTATTTAAATGAGTACTTTTCCATTGAATGAATATTTTTTGTCAATGTATCATTTTCTAACAATATATTGGAAATATTTGAACAAAAATATCCTTCATATTGAATTTTATGGCAAGTGCTGCAGCTAGAGTATCAACATTCAATCTTGATTTCTCATTTATCCAAAAATCTACACGGCTGGACTGTGTGGGGGTGGGCGGCGGGGGCAGGTGTTGTGAGCCAGGTGCTCCAGGATGGCCACGTAGGTGCGCAGGGTGAGGTGGTGGCAGCACAGGTCAGCACTGCGTAGACCACCAGCTGGCTCGGCCCATGGAAGGTCAACTGCCCGCTGCGCCCCTGCCCACAGCTGCCCCGCCAGCACCGCTACCCTGCAGTGGAGAGCCAGCCCCGAGGCTCGCAAAGCACCAGCCGAGCCAGCTCCGGCCCTGCAGCCGCCCCCCAACACCACTGCCCACCCTGCGTATCTCCGTAGAGCTGGCCCCATGGCTCGCAAAGGCAAAGCACCAGCTGCCCTGGCTCCAGCCCTGCAGCTGCCCCCCCAGCCGCCCCCCCAGCACCACTGCCCACCCTGCGCATCCCCGTAGAGCCGGCCCTGCAGCTTGCAAAGCACCAGCCATGCTGGCTCCGGCCCTGCAGCCACTCCCCCAGCTGCCCCCCAGCACCACCGCCTACCCTGTGCATCCCCGTGTAGAACCGAACAGGGAAGATCAAGAGAAATTTACTGCTCCAGTCTCTTCCAGCTATCTGCAGAACTAAGTAGGAGATGGTGTAGTTGGGTAGCAGTGAGGGGTGCAAAGTTCCTGCAACTTGCACGTGCAAAGTTTGCCACCTGGGTGTTTTGGCGCGCTCAGCAGCAATTCCTATTGGCTTTTGAAGGCCAATAGGGGGAGTAGCACAACTCAGGCAAAAGTTGAAAAAAAAACATCAAAAAAGGTCCCGCAACGCCTTCTGAGCATTCTATGAGGAAAAAAAAGCCGTGCAGATAAGTCTTCAAATATAGAAAAAGAGGACATTTAGGAGGACATTTTCGAGGGAGGACAGAACTCCCAAAAGGAGGACAGTATATGGAAAAGGAGGACATTTAGGAGGACACTTTTTGAGGGAGGACAGAACTCAAAAAAGGAGGACTGTCCTTCCAAAAGGAGGACGGTTGGTCACCTTAATAGAACAATGGTAGAGTCAAATGTTTCCTGCAGATGATGGTGATGGTGATGGTGATGAGAAGAAGAAGAAGAAGGAGAAGGAGAAGGAGAAGGAGAAGGAGAAGGAGAAGGATGATTATCTCTGGCCTGATTTATCAATTTAATTTCTGCTTTTGAATTTTGACATGCTATTTTAAAGGACAAAGTGGATATTGTAATAAATATCTAAAGATTTTTTTAAATACTAAATTTGGCAAAAGTTTCCTAAATAGTAGGTGAAAATGAATCTTGGACAATAATATACAGTAAACATCTATATTCAAATAATGCTAAATAAGATTTACTTTAACCCAGATTTTTATAATAATCTATACACCGTGTTGCACATAAAGAAATAATCATCTAATTCCTGACTACTTTTTAAAAATATTTTTTACCCTGACACATATGGTTTCTGCCATGTCCTAGCAGCAATAATACTTTTCCCATCCTTATTTATCGGACTAGATTTGGTCAGTGATTTATGAAGATTTTCGTTAATGTTTTGTAAACAATTTTTTTTATAAAATATATGACTTGCGTTTTCACTGTACTTTAATAATTCCAAAGTGGATTTATTATGAACATGCATTTATAAGACTCTGCCTATGAGTATTTTGTCTGATATAGTCCAATGGGTATTTTGACAGATTTTGTGGCATACAGACTTCAGACTCTTCCATCTGTCTGGTATTCAGCAGACAAGATTGATGGGGAAAAGTTGCTAGGAAAAATTACAAGAGGGGAACAAAAATTCTGAAACTTGCCTTTGTCTTGCCTTGAGTTTACCATGAATTGGTAAGAGCCTCTGGTATGACAAAGTATAAACCAGTAATAAACCAGGATTCTAAGTTCAAGATAATAAAACATGTTAAAAACATATTATGCATTATTAAACTAACTTCAAGATATGGGTTTACAGTATAGCTGTTGCTAAATTTTTATAGGTGTGATAATATGGCTAAGACATTCAAATTAAGCTGTAACAGAACAGTCTGATATATACTGATGAGTACAAGTTGCCCACTGTATCATTAGTCAGGATGAATAAATGAATAAATGTTGCAATACATAAAGGCCTATCTTCCATTTTGCTTCTCTTTGTTCGATTTGCAGATAGCAAGGCAGCAAATTCTACAATATGGGAATGTCAACTTGCTGTTGGCTTTTTTGTGGACAACATTTATAATCATTATTATTGTGCTAATTTTTTTAATTAAGGAAAGCTTAAGTATTTTACTATAGATCCTTATATTAATCTATTAATCTATTATATCTCAAAGCCCAGTAATGAAAAAACAAACTTCTCCAACTCTCAATATATTGCTTTAGTGAAGAGCTAACTTTTCCTTAAACACTAACTCAGGGAAACCGCATTACTGCAGCCAGGATTTAATATAATATATTCAACCTTAAAGAGTCATAGCAAATGTGGCAGTGATATAGCAACATCACAAGAAAGGGTGGCATTGACTTTGTAGAAGAATTCTTTTTATCTTCTATTCTGTTAAAAGGTCTTTATGTTCTTTGTCAGGTCTGAAAAAGAGTCTTGCGCTAGTAAAACTCGTCCAAACAATGAGTAGTACAGTCTGCCAAGGATTGTTCTTTATTTAAAACGCTCTTTTCCCCCAGGATACTTCTACATCAGGAGTGTCAAACTTGCAACATCACATGATGTGTCGCGATGTATCGCGGCTTTTTTGCCATTGACGGCAATGGAGTGGACACGGTTTTGGCATGACGCATCCGGCCCATGGGCCGGCAGTTTGACACCCCTGTTCTACATGATGCATTTGTTTAACATCTCATTTATACTGTTACTATTGCAGGTTCATCGTTATTAAAATTAGTAACGCTACACACCCAAAAATCTTTGCATATACAAACTTAATTTAAAATACACTGCCTACAGGATGTTAATATCCTAATTTCTCCGGTATTGTGATAGTATAAAATCACCGCAAAAAGTAAAGGATCCATTTTTAGTAGCTGAACATATTTCAGATTCTAAGAGCATTCTGATTTAAAAATTCAGATTGCGGGAGGCAGAAAGTCAGATGATGCCTTCAGGTTTTAGTATCCACTAACCTGGTTGAAACTATAAGGCAAAAAGCAACATTTTTTCCTGGCCATCCTACTTCACAAATCCAAATGAGAGTTCCTAGCTGAGTGCAGGAAACACCCAAAATAATTTGCTTCCCAAATTTGAGCAGCAGAGAGTACCTCCCTCCCAAAGCAATTAATTTTGGTGCCCATTATGGAAGATTTTATGAAATCCTCTCACTTTCTTTAGCTATTAGTGAATTGGGTTAATGATGTTACAAAATTGATTTGCTTGCTAGCACAATGGAGGATTGGAAAAATACCTTGCACAATGCTTTTTATACTGGGCACAAAGGAAGATTGATCACTTCTGTCACCAATTATTTCATTGTGCAACAGTAGAAAGAATAGATTCTAGTAGGAAATACGAAGAGGAAGGAGAAAAACTAGAAAAGAGCAAAAGCAACCTTCCTATTAAAAGATTAGCAATTTCAGAAATAACAGTGAACATTTTTTTTAATAATTTTTATTCATAATACAATTAAAACAACAATGGATAAACATGACATTCCAGAATGAATTTTCCTATCAGTTCCTATCATGGTACAAAAGTTTAATACATCGTTCTTAACCTCTATATAAGCCTCATCTTCTATACAATACAATTATATATACAATTATATGTACAGTTATGTTTATCTTTTAATTCTACCATTAACTTGAAGTCCGAGCAGTTCTTAATTCATACCAACGGTAAAATTTGCCCCAGATTTCGAAGTATTCGTGTTCTGTCTTGTCTTTCATAATCATTGTAAGCCTGTCCATCTCAGCACATGATAGAATTTTATGCAGGATCTCTTCTTCCGTTGGGGTTCCCTTATTCCTCCAATTTTGAGCAAAAACCAGTCTAGTTAAAATGTGTAGCATTAAATAAAGTACGCCTTTGTCATGCTTTTGCGTAGTTAAATCTAATAGAAAGAGTTCTGGTTTTGGTTCTACCGCTTGCTCTAATATTTCTTCCAACCATACTTTAATCCTATTCCAAAAATCACGAGCTCGCGTGCATTCCCACCACATATGATAGTAAGTTCCACTTTTCAAATTACATTTCCAACATTTAGGGGAGACATTGGTATACATTTTAGACAATCTTGTGGGTGGGAGATGCCATCTATAAAACATTTTGTAAAGGTTCTCTTTGTAAGAGGTGGCCAAAGTAAGCTTCTTGTTTCTTGCCCATAGTTCTTGCCAGATGTGCAGATCAAAATTAAGACCAAAGTCCTTGCTCCAATTCAACATAGTCACTTTTACTTGTTCCTCGTACATTGCCTGATCTAACAAATAGTAGTATAATTTTTTAATCATTTTATCCTCCGACCCCAAAATTATTTTATCCAATTCTATTGGTTCTAATTTAATGCCTAACTCTTTTTTGTCTTTCCGATATCTTGCCTGCAGTTGCAGGTATGCCCACCATTCTAATTCTATCCCTTCATCCTGGATGGTTTTCCTGGATTTCAATTCCTCTCTTTCATCTAAGATGTTTTTATATGTTATGGTCTTGTCTAATTGGGTAAATTTTGGGTGTACATATATTTCTCACGGTGAGATCCAACTAGGTACTTAGGTATAATTTGGTTGCCATGGAGAGATTATATTCAGAATAAATATGGGACTAAAAAGTTCCATTTACTTTATTAGTAAATTTTAGAGTATTATTATTATTAATAGTTTACTATAGTGGAATTTTTATTAGTTTTATTATTATTTTTAGTATTAATATTGTTTAACAATTTGGATATTGTATTGTTCAAGAATTAGGATATTAACTTGTTTATGTTATTATGTTTATTTTTAATTTGTTTATTTTTATGTTAAAGGGGAGTTAAAGCGCATTATGGACTTGGTTATTTACATAGTTGGTTAATGTTAGTTAGAGTATGATTATTATATTTGTTACCCTGTACTCAGCTCTGGGAAGTGGGGGGGGTGAGGGGGAGTTTAGGGTAGGTGGGTTTTGGGGTGCATATTGTAACTTTTATAAAACTTTTCAATAAAAAAGAAAGAAAAATTAGATCTAGATCTCTTCAGAGAAAATATAAGTCCTTTCTGAAAAATCTAGCCTAGCAACACTGCAATTCAGGGAGGGAATATAAGAATTTTCACATGAATACCTGCACTTAGACTTCTATACCACCTCACAATGCTTTACAGCACTCTCTAAGCTGTTTATAGTGTCAGAATTACACCCCCAACAATATGGGGCAATATTATTGGGGACAATACTGACCTTGGAAGGATGGAAGGATGAGTCAACCTTGAGCTGGTCATGATGTAACTCCTGGCAGCAGGCAGAGTTAGCCTGCAATACTGCATCCTAGTAATTAGCCGTATTACGCAGGAAGAGAAAGTACTGCAAGGTGTGGAATCAGGCTGAGTTGGCAAACTAGAGAAAAAGATGCCAGGGCTGTTGAGAAAGGGTAGGAAGTGGAAAAACAACAATAAAGAAATAGAAACTCAAAGGACTCATTAAAATATCCTAGTATGCAAAATAGCATTATGTTCTGCCTGTTATAATTCTGGGTTTGACACAAAAATAAACATTCTGATTTATATAACCAATTCATAGATAAACCTCAGGGAATATAGTGTGTTTTACTTCTAAGTAAATTTACATTTGTATGCCACAATAAGAATCCTTCCAAACACTGGTGTTTTTTTGTTTTTGTTTTTTTTAGGAATAAACAGTACTCTGTTTATTAGTTGCATTTGTTTTATTCCTTCTACCTATTGAAATAACTTTTATTTAGACAGATACCTGTTTGCTAAGACATAACCATCCATTTCATTTATTTTTTATTTATTTATTAAACAAATTCATACAGGTGCCCATCTCAAATATAGATAATTCCAGGTGGCTTATGATATTTTTAATGCTGTAAACAATTAATTCCATTCAAGCCTGTTAAGAAAGAGAAGCAGGAGCAGCTTTTTCCCCAGTCTTGTTGGGAGGCCAGTGCGAGGCCTCTGAAAGTTTGTTTTATTGCTCACCTTAGGGCTTCACTTCTCTCTTTCCCTATCCCTATCATAGATAGAGAGTGATGCTGCCGGACCAAAAGTAGCTGTTGTGAGAAGATTCTATAGGTGAGCCCTCTTCTCTTAGAGTGGTGGGCTACCAAAGTATTGTCGAAATTGTTTCTCATCCTGTGTTCTGTATTAGAATCCTCTTAGAACAGCTCCTATTTTCAGGACCTGAATTGTCCTCTTAGCAACCACATTTTGGCTCGGTTCACTTGAGATACTAAGTCAAAATGTGGTTGGCTAGTTTATGGCTTCATGTGTTGTGCCTACCCAGGAAACTGGGTTAATTCAGTAAATGAGTTCATTTCCCATGAGGCAGTGTGCTTGCACCAAAGAAGCTCTTGGCAAAATAGGCACCAGTAGAAAAAGCTGATAGGAAAGCAAACAGTGGCAACACTGCTGATTCTCTTTAGTTTTTAGCAGAAGGCTAGCAGCAACATATCCATTCTACTTTCTGTTGGAAATATGAGTGGAAACAGCCCTTGCCCTCCAAACTCTTGCCATCCTGCCTAGTTATTCATAATCCCTCAATATTCTTTTCAAGCTCTTTTTTTAAGTGTCATTGGCTCTGACATGAAATTGAAAAAAGGGGTAGTAATTTTCTATTATCTTCCTATCTTTAACTTCTCAAGGAGTTGGAGAAGCCAAGCAGGAGTAATCAAGAAGCAGAATTGAGACAGGCCTGTCTTAGGACTCCTTTGATCTTTCCTATGTACATTTGCTCTCTTCTGCATCGTAACTACTCAGCATAGCAAAAATTCAACAGCTCTGAAATACTGAAATTCTTGCTCTTCTCAGAGATATAGTGGTACCTCAATATACCGAAATTATTTTAGAAGCATCTCAGAATAAGGATACTGGATCTATAATATAATAATAATGCTTAACAAAAGTTGAGCATCCTGATTAGAATAGGTACTTTAATAAACACATTGTAATATCTTTTATTCCTTTTATATCTACAGATGTTCAGAAGAGGAACAGGGAGAGGGAAGTGAAGAAAACTTTGTATCTAATATTATTTTGTAAGGTTTTTACTCAGAATTCCAATAAATCCAATAAGATTTTGAACACGAGGCAACTGAAAAGAATAAATTAGCTTTATTCCTTTGATCAAAGTAATGGGTGGGTGTCCCAATCTCATGTCACACGCGCACACACACACACACACACACACACACACACACACACACACACACACACACATACTGTGAGACAGAGGAGAATGAGTTCTGCCTTTTATAACTAATACACATTTTTTCTTAACATTGCAACACTGCACATCTAAAGATTTCTTTTTTGTTTGAATTTCCTTATCTATCAAGCACGTTGCAATTCTGCATCTCTAAGCTTTGAATATAGCTCAATAGCTGCCAATTAACCCAGAAACGTACCTTGTTACTTTGCAGGCAGCAGGGTAGAGAAATAAAAAGCTGATACCATCCAAGGAGAAAGGGGGTGGAAAAAGAACGCTGCTGTATGTTGCGAGCTATAGCAGTAACATTTTTAAAGTAATAGAAAACTTTTCTTTCCCTTTGGTCAGCACAATTTAAATTACATTGGAGCATGTACAGAAAGCAAAAATAAATAAACAATGCTGGACTATGTTATACATGAAAGATGAATTATACATAAAAGATTATATTTTGAAAGATTACATTTTTATGCCTTCATTCCTCCCTTTTTATGATAATAGAATGCATTCTATTTTTGAACTAGAAACACATATTCTTCAGATAGTGACATCAGAGTTAGGACCTTAGCTGGTTTATTTTGCTTTCCTGTTGCTATAACAGTCATTCCAGATATCATGCTAGCAACAATTGATTTTATTAAAGCTATCAAGCAAGGTAATAACATTAATCCTCGAAAGGATAGAGCTATGAGGAACAAATTCTTTTCCAATCTCCAAACATCCCTCCAAACCATCCAACAGAATCTATAATTCCATCCCAGGTTTGGACTGGCACATGTGCAAGCTTCCTCATTCAGTCTGTGATTTCCTCAATTTGATATCCCTAGCTTCCATCATTGGCCCAAACTGCTGGATCATACACCTGAATGATCCTTTCAGGAGGCCACTTCTTATCTCTTTCCCAGTCACGTATATCACCAGGTATTTCTCTTTTTACTTTTCCCAGCTCATCATACGGTGACACCAAGTTTCTCTCCTTGTTTGAGAGGTAACAAGAAACAACTTGGTTTGATGGACCCCAAAACACAAGCTCCTGTCCAGTTTAAAGGTAGCTGAGTATATGCTCATCCACAAATCCAATACCAATGGTCAGGTGCAATTCATGGAAGGGAAGTGTAAGGACCCACCCCACTTTGCATCTTAAGAAGACAGAACTCTTGGAATAATTCTTCCAACAGGAATCCTTTATTAAGAGAAAATGGTTGCAGGCGTGCTAGACAGGACTTGGGGTTCAAGCTCTCCCATTCAAGGTTTTAAGGGGTTCCCCAGTAGTCCCATCCAATCAACCCCCCTTCCAGTGATAGTTTCAAGTATCACAATTCCACCCCCTTTCTTCTTTCTTCCGTCTGGATAGAGACTTCAGATAACTACATGAAAGGCAAATACCCTTCTTTGGTATGCTAACGCTTTGGTTACAATAAACAACATTCAGCTCTTTGAAGTGTACTGAAGGAAGTGAGGGCCATAAAACCCCTTTGTTCTCCCCCTTCTCTCCCTCTTATGGCAGAATCCAGAGAAGGCAGAATTGGGGTTTTCTATATTTGATGATTAAAGATGAAATATAATTGGATTCTGACAGGAAGGATTTCCAGGATCATTCCATATTTGATACAACAGTTCCTGTGTTGATGAATTAAAAGGATTAGAACAGGACAAATTTTGGTTAGACCACCAGAAACAATGTGTAGGTTTAGTGTGGTTGCACAACCGTCCAGATTCACAGGCCAATTCTCCCATTGGTTCAAGATAAGGGGAATCAGTTGTTCGAACAAAGTACCTTTCTCCTACCACAGCACTTTGCAACACCCATAGAGTTGGTCTCTGCCAGTCCTCCCATTTGAAGTTAAATGAAAAGAAGTTGGTAGTGGGCATTTCTTTAGCTTCCCAAAGCCATTGCTCTCCCATATTGGTTCTCCCACAAACATAGCAGCTTATTATGTTCGTTAGAGAATTTTTATTTCTCTAATTGGTGAAAAATAAATCAGAAGCTCTCACAGTTGACTGCATTTAGCTGATTCAAAATAACTTCTTTATATCAAAATATTTACATTACCATACATTCTTCTTTACAGCAACATAGCTTAATTGAAGATTTCTTACAGAGACAGATCAGAGACAAAAACAGAGACTGGAAATCCAGCTCCTAACTCAATACTCTTTTTGCACAGACTCAGTAGCACTTTCCTCACATTGGCTGACTGAGTTACCACATGACTCTTCCTGTTCATGAATATTCTACTCTTTTTGCACAGACTCAGTAGCACTTTCCTCACATTGGCTGACTGAGTTACCACATGACTCTTCCTGTTCATGAATATTCCAACACTCCTCCCTTCATGACAGGAAGAGACATCAGACCTATTGACTTAACACATTCTTTAATTGTGAAAAACCTTGTGCCACTAACCTGGCCTTATACTGTATATCATTATTTGGCAATACCTTTTTCTTATATACCCACTTACAATCCACAGCTTTGATTCTCTGTGGCAAAGTCACTGATTTAAATACTTCATGGTCTCCCATGGATTTCATCTCTTTATCCATGGCCTCCTTCCATTTTTCTTGTTCAGCTTTTGGTAATGCCAACATCTCTTTATAACTTCTTGGCTCATACCACACATTGTAAACCTTTACCTTGCTGGCAGAATACCTGTCAGGCGGAATTCTTTTGTTACATCGCTCTGACCTACGTGGTATTAACTGCTCCTGTGTCTCAAGTCTTTCTGGTTTCAGGTCTTGTTCAACCTCTCCTCCCTGAACATTGACATCTTCAATAATTTTTTTTATCATTAGATTAGTTGTCATTAAACAGATCACTGTCATTAAGTGAGACATACCCAGAATTTGCATTAATTCTGTCCCAATTTTGTTCTGCAAAATTAGCGATATCCTTTTGACCCTGGCTCATAGCCCACAAACCTGAGCTTTCTTGCCTTTTTCTGTCCCTTTCTTCTGATTGCTTTTGGAATATGTACCCATGCAGTACTTCCAAAAATTCTCAAATGTGCCAGTGATGGCTTTCTCCCATATAGAATGGTATATGGAGTATTATTAATGGAGGAACTCCACAACCTGTTAACTATACAATTAGCAGTCAATATGGCTTCTCCCCAATATGACCTGCTCAAATCAGAATCCTCCAATAATGAATCTTTCATTGTTTGCAAAACACCATTCCTTCTTTCAGCTACACCATTCTCTGCTGCTGTGTAAGGATTTGTACGTCTGTGTCTTATCCCCAACTGCCCCAACCATTGATGGAATTTAGTTGACATAAATTCAGTACCTCTGTCAGTTTGCAAATGACACACTTGTTGTCTGCACCTTTTCTCTACAAAACTTACCCACTGTTTGAATTGTTGTAGCACCTCTGTCTTATCTCTAAGCAAGTAGCAAAACGAATACCTGCTATAATCACCAACAATTACCAGTGCATATTTTGCTCCTCCCAAACTGGCTTGCATAGGTCCCACCAGATCTGCATGGACCAGCTCTAGAACTCTTTTTGTTTGTCTTGTGCTATATTTACTAACTGGGAATGCCTTTGACTTTGATGCTTTGCATACTGCACAGTCCAAATATGTTTTGCATCCCTTCAAATTTAGCCCTTCTGCAAAATCTTGCATTTGCTGCAAAACTTTAAAGCTTGCATGGCCAAGTCTTCTATGCAGAAGATGAACACATGAATCATGCTCTGCAACATTCTTAAATATATGGGAACATTGAACCTTTTGTCCCTGCAATACATATAGATTATCTTCCTTTATGCCTTCTGCACAAATATTCCCATTCCTTTTGATGAGACACTTCCCATTTACAAAAATGATCTCAAAACCTTGTTTGTCTAAATTAGACACACTTAACAAATTATGTTCCATCTCAGGTACACACATCACATTGGTAAACTTTGATTCCAAATATGGAATTTTTACATCGCCTCTTCCAATGACTTTTGCTTTCTGGCCATTTGCCAAAGCCACAGCTTCTTGTGCTACTGGAACAAACCTGCAAAATAATTCAGAGTCATTAACAATTGTTTGACTTGCCCCACTATCTATTAGCCACTTGTCTCTGTTGTTGCTATAGCAAACTTTTGCAACACCAAAATGTTCCTTTTGCAAAGCAGTCCTTTTTGGTTGCACAAATGTCCTTTGCTGCAAACAGTTCCTTTGCAAACAGTTCCTTTGCAAATGTGTGCTGGCTCCACAAATGTAGAAATTCTTTACTTGTAAAGCTCTCTACTTGCAAAATCTCTCTTTTGTTGCAATTTGGTCCGGGTCCGATCTGCTTGTTTCTTCTCCTCTGGAGACTTGCAGTCTGGACCCCCTCCTCAGAAATTTCTCTTCCTCGTGGCTGCTTCTAAAATGGCGTTTTTCTTCTTCATTAAGCAAACATGCCTTTAAAGCCTCAAACTTTAAGTCTTGCTCTTCTTTGCATTCAAATATTGCAGAAACTGTGTCCCAGGTTTTATCTAAACTGTTCAATACCAATAAAACCTTCTGGGACTCAGGAAATTTAATCCCACGTTGTTCTAAGTCCAAAAATAAACTTTGCATTTTATTTAAATGCTGTTCCACAGATTCACCTGGTTGCAAACAGGCCCTGTAAAGTTTTCTTGACAATTGCACTATATTGCATGCAGAAACATTCATGAGCACAGCTCTCAATTTTAACCAAATCTCCTTTGCAGTCTTTAAATTTGCAACATTTAGAAATTGTACATCATCTAAATTCAAGATGAGATAAGCCATTGCTCTAGCATGACTTTTCTGATCAACAGCTGTAAATACTTGTGGTGGATTTTCTACAATATACCACAGCTCTTTAGTTTTCAGCAAACATTCCATTTTTGCAGCCCACACAATGTAATTCTTCTGGCCCAAACAAGGCACACAGTTTTCCTTAAATTCCATTGCAGCCATTCTGCTAATTCTGTCTTGTTCTTATACTTTCTAAATACAGGCAATTTCTTCCAGCTTTAAATTACAATGCAGTCCTTAGTAAGCTCTGGGCCCATAACCTGTTAGAGAATTTTAATTTCTCTATTGGTGAAAAAATAAATCAGAAGCTCTCACAGTTGACTGCATTTAGCTGATTCAAAATAACTTCTTTATATCAAAATATTTACATTACCATACATTCTTCTTTACAGCAACATAGCTTAATTGAAGATTTCTTACAGAGACAGATCAGAGACAAAAACAGAGACTGGAAATCCAGCTCCTAACTCAATACTCTTTTTGCACAGACTCAGTAGCACTTTCCTCACATTGGCTGACAGAGTTACCACATGACTCTTCCTGTTCATGAATATTCCAACAATGTTTAACCTTGCACCAATTCTTTCTGCCAAATCAATGAACAATTTTTTGATAACTGAAGATATTTCAATCTTTTGCTTAATAGTTTCCCAAAAGACACTGTGAACTTGGTAGGTTTTATGTGTCTCTTGTAAATGAACAGTTTTTACAATAATTCTTCCATAATGGTAATAGTAATAGTAGTAAAGTTGGAAGGGACCTTGGAGGTCATCTAGTCCAACCCCCTGCTCGGGCAGGAAACCCTACGCTATTTCGGACAAATGGCTGTCCAGTCTCTTCTTAAAAACTTCCAGTGTTGGAGCATTTACTGCTTCTGGAGGCAAGCTGTTCCACTGATTAATTGTTCTCACTGTCAGGAAGTTTCTCCTTAGTTCTAGGTTGCTTCTCTCCTTGATTAGTTTCCACCCGTTGCTTCTTGTCCTGCCTTCAGGTGCTTTGGAAAATAGCTTAATTCCCTCTTCTTTATGGCAGCCCCTGAGATATTGGAATACTGCTATCATGTCCCCCCTTGTCCTTCTCTTCGTTAAACTAGACATACCCAATTCTAGCAACCGTTCCTTATATGTTTTAGCCTCCAGTCCCCTAATCATCTTTGTTGCTCTTCTCTGTACTCTTTCTAGAGTCTCAACATCTTTTTTACATCGTGGTGACCAAAACTGGATGCAGTATTCCAAGTGTGGCCTTACCAAGGCATTGAAGAGTGGTATTAATACTTCACGTGATCTTGATTCTATCCCTCTGTTAATGCAGCCTAGCACTGTGTTGGCCTTTTTGGCAGCTGCAGCACACTGCTGGCTCATATTTAGTGATTGTCTACTAGGACTCCGAGGTCCCTCTCACAGTTACTACTATTGAGCATGGTGCCACCTATGCTGTACTTGTGCATTTGGTTTTTCTTGCCTAAATGTAGAACCTTGCTTTTTTCACCATTGAATTTCATTTTGTTAGTTAGTGCCCAGTGTTCAAGTCTGTCCAGATCCTTCTGTATCTGAAGCCTGTCTTCTGGAGTGTTGGCTATTCCTGCCAGCTTGGTGTCATCTGCAAATTTGATGAGTTCCCCATCTATCCCTTCATCCAAATCGTTGATGAAGATGTTGAAGAGTACTGGGCCCAGAACAGAGCCCTGGGGCACCCCACTACACACTTCCCTCCATATAGATGCAGTTCCATTGAGGACCACTCGCTGAGTACGGCCGGTCAGCCAGCTACGGATCCATCTGGTGGTGGTTCTGTCTACCCCACATTTTTCTATCTTGTCAAGTAGTAGGTTGTGATCTACTTTATCAAATGCCTTACTGAAGTCCAAGTAAATTATGTCCACAGCATTCCTCTGATCCACTAATTTTGTCACTTGGTCAAAGAATGCAATAAGATTTGTCTGGCATGATCTATTTTTGACAAACCCATGTTGGCTTTTAGTAATGACTTTGTTTGCCTCTAGGTGTTCGTTGATTCGTTGTTTGATTATCTTTTCCAGGATCTTCCCAGGTATTGAGGTCAGGCTGATAGGTCTGTAATTTCCTGGATCCATTTTTTTTCCTTTTTTGAGGATGGGAACTACATCAGCTCTTTTCCAGTCCTCTGGTAGTTCCCCTGTGTTCCAGGATCTTTGAAAAATATAGTTCAGTGGCTCCGATATCACATCTGCCAGTTCCTTGAGAACTCTGGGGTGTAATCCGTCTGGTCCTGGCGATTTGAACTCATCTAGGCTGGACAGGTGCTCACTAACGATTTTCTTGCCTATCTTAACTTGTGTTTCTGTTTTGTTTTTTGTGGCACTATTTTTGATAGGTTGGTCTGTTTTTTCCCTTTGTGTAAAGACAGATGCAAAAAATGAGTTAAATAGTTCTGCTTTCTCCCTGTTGCTTGTCACCTTCTTGCCACTTCCACCCACTAATGGACCAATCATTTCCTTCACTTTTTTCTTGTTTTTTACATGTTGAAAGAAGCTTTTTTTGTTATTTTTGACTTTGGTCGCAAGCCTCAGTTCATTTTGAGCCTTGGCTTTCTTCACTTCATCTTTGCAGGCTCGGGCTATTTGCTGATATTCTGACTTAGTTATGTTCCCCTCTTTCCACTTTCTATACTTGTCCTTTTTATCTTTCAATTTGTCAGAGAGTTCTTTATGCAGCCATGCTGGTTTCTTTTGAGAGCTGTTATTTTTCCTCTTTGTTGGTATTGTGCTAGACTGTGCTTTTATTATCTCATTTTTCAAAATTTCCCAAGCTTCTTGAGTTGTTTTCCCCTTGAGGATTCTCATCCATGGAATCCTTCCCAAGCCCTCTCTAAGTTTATTGAAATTAGCTCTCTTGAAGTCCAAGACTCTAGTTTGACTGTGTTCTATTGGTTGTGCTTCTATAATGTTGAATTCTAATATTGCATGATCACTTCCTCCCAGGGTTCCTATGGCTCCAACACCGTCTATCATTTCATCTCTGTTAGTGAGAATTAGATCCAAAATGGCTAATCCCCTAGTTCCATTCTCTACTTTTTGGGAGACAAAGTTGTCTGCTAGGTTTGCCAGGAACCTGTTTGATCTTCCACTTGGTGCGGAGTTTGTCTCCCAGTTGATGTCAGGGTAGTTAAAGTCCCCCATTACTATTGTGATGTGCTTCCTACATACCTTAGTTAGCTGACTAGCAAAAAGTTCATCTATTTCCTCTGTTTGGTTGGGTGGTCTGTAGTATACACCTATGGCAATGTCATTTCCCCCCCCTTTTATATTGACCCAAATGCATTCAAGACAGTTTTTATCATTGTTGTACTCTATTTCTGTGAAGATGTAGTTATTTCTTATATAGAGAGCAACTCCACCTCCTCTTTTATTTGGTCTGTTTCTTTTAAATAATTTAAATCCCTCTAGCTGTGTGTTCCATGTGTGAGTTTCATCCCACCATGTTTCCGTAATGGCAACAATATCGTATCTGCCCTCATTAACCTGAATTTCTAGTTCACCCTGTTTGCTGTTCATACTTTGTGCATTGGTGTATAAACATTTGAGTCCTTTGTGGGTGGCCCTGTGTTTCCTTTCTACATAACCTGTGTGGTGCCTGAGTTCCCCTATTGTCTTACCACCTATTTGGTTAGTGCACTTTATATGGCACTCGCTATTAGAGGCTTCATTTTGATTGGTAGCAAGGTTGGTATTCTTGTCCACACACACATCTGTGCTACATGCACTGATAGCCCTATAGTTTTTAAATTGCCGGGGACAGGGTTGTTCCGTATCAATTAACTCCCTGTCCCCGCTGTTTAGTTTAAATTTCCCTCCAGAAAATCTGTGAATTTATAGCCGAGTAACTCAGTCCCTTTTTTTGATGGATGCAAACCATCTCTTTTGTACAACTTTTGATTGGACCAGCTACTGACATCGTGACTAATATATCCAAAGCCTTCCCCTTTACACCATTCCTTTAGTCTCTACCTTTTCCTGAGATCCCTATTCCAAAAAGGTGAGACTTTGTGGTTGGATCTTTGAAATGAAGGCAAATAGGGGTGTATGTCCCTAGAGCACATTCAGTCCTAGTAGCACCTTCAGTCAGGTTAAACCAAACTTGATTGTAATTATGGTCAGTGGGGGGACCTTTAGTCATTTTCATGTTGGATATTACCAGTAGACAAACTGATCGGGTGAGACTCCAAAAGCTCTGGGAGCTGGTCCATAACCATTGTTATCATATACATATTTACTTTTCAGTAATGCAAGACTTTTCTCAATTCAGGGAGTCACAACAGATTTCATAGTTATCATCTGGTCCCTGTCCTTGGTCTATTCCTTTGGAAGTGTCAAAACAAAGAAACATTTCTGGACTTTAGTCAAACATAGTGTGATTATAAACCAATTGTTTACCATAATTATTGTGTCCTGAGCCTGCAAACAGGTTAAGGCCCCTCCTAAACACTAGATGAGTATGTAAGGTTATTGTCAGCCTAAGAACAATACTAGTCTATGGAGAAGAGATGGAACATATGTGGGTAGGAATAGAACCTGCGAAGCACACATTAAAGAGTGGCAAACAAGTTGTAGTAGAATGGAGTGTTGGTAGAATGGAAAAACAAAATGATTATTTTTTACATATATTATTTTATATGGATTGTAAGAACACGTACCGTGTGTGTTCTAGCTAAGGGGGGGGGGTGTTGTGTTCTGAGCCTGCAAATGCAGGCTCGGGACATTGCAAGGCTCCCAGTCAATTGCAGAACCTGCCCGGGACCAGACTGAGTGGCGCCAGCCGAGCGCGCATGCGCAAGGCGCGAAAAGTGCCTGGAAATGTTGCCATCTTGTCCATGGATTGGGAGCATATAAAATGAGGCCTGCGTGCCTTTTTGCTAGTTGTTGTTGGAGTTGTAAGTAAGCACAATAAAGAGCTGTTTCAGAGACATGCATATTCTTCATTCACCATCGCTCCCAGGACTTAACAATAATTATTCCCTGAATATGTATATACCCATGCTTTGGAAATGTACCTAGCTCCCTTTGGAGTGTGACACACCACTTGGTTATTTCTGGAACAGGTGGCATATTGTGTCTGGTTATATATGCATGTAGATTTTATTCCATGACATATGTAATCAGAATGGTAAACTAACGTTTTAGTAATTTTAACTCCTTTAGTAATTTTAACTCCTGGTTTTTATACACTTTTGACAGGATGTCATCTGATTTCATGCTTCTCTTTGCTCTGTGAGAAACATGAAATTGCAAAGCACACTTGCCTATTCACCTCCCAGTCAGATGAAGTGTGGATGTCACTGTTTTTATACCTTCATTTCCACACTGGAGGGAAAGGGGATGGCAGGTTGCATTTTCAGGGAGGACAGATCCCTACCCTCAGAGTGCGAACTGTCATTCTGCATAGATATTTGGGTGCT